CTTTAGGTCTTTATCTATAAAATGTAAATAATAATATGAATACTATCTGCCTCACAAGTTCTTAAACCTAAGGTTGTTTTAAACTTTAAAGAACTATATACATATATATCTGTGCTGTTTTTTTCTTTTTGAATTTTTCTTTATTTTATTTTTAATTTATGGAATAAAACAAACATTTCTGTAACATAGCATAATAATAAAAAAAAGATGATTGCACATGAAACCACAAATCTATTGTGTACAACTTGCTATTCTTTTTAAATATACAATAAAATTATGTACATTTCTTTTTTTTCCTTTTTTCCCGTCTCCCCACCCTAGAGATGGCTACCATTAGACACAAAGATGTAAATATGTAAAATCAGCCTATACATACTTCTATTTATTGGTTCTTTCTCTGGATGCAGATAGTGTCTTCCTTTGTATGTCTTCTGTAGTTAATTTGGGTATTTATAATAGTCAAAATGATTTATTCATTCAAAGTTGTTCTTAAAACAATATTGCTGTTACTATACACAATGTTCTCTTGGATCTGCTCATTTCACTCTTCATTATTTCATGCAAGTCAATCCATGCCTTTCTAAGATCATCAAGCTCATCATTTCCTATAGCACAGTAGTATTCCATCACAATCACATACCACAACTTGTTCAGCCATTGCCTGACTGTTGGGCTTCCCTGCAAATCCCAGTTTGTTGCATGTATGCTGCTTTTCAGTGTTTCAGTAGGTCTATGATTAGATTGTGAGCTCTCAAAGGCAGGAACTGTCTTCTGCCTCTTTGTGTTTCGCAAGTACTTAGCACAGTGTCTGGCACATACTAGGTGCTTAATAAATACTTATTGAATGAGTGACTGATCCCCCCAGTGTGAGTATTCCCTTCAGTGGTACAGATTGCAACCCATTCACACAGTCTCATCTCGTGTGTCTCTTGCCCATGTCTTTCCATAAATCCTCCACAGGGAATGCACCCAAACATGTTGGGAGACTGTCCTCTAGAACTCTTGACATCCCTATTATCATTCATCAGAATTAGCATCACCAGTTAAGACAACTTTACCCAGACAGGCATTATTGATTTCTATGCTTAATCACTTGTGTCTGATTTCCATTTAAGTTTTACCTACTGCATCTCCCAAATACAAATGAGAAACTAAAGGAGGCCAATGCTTACATCAGCTTGGTAGTGGGAAAACCAAAATTGGAAATACAAGTAGCAAGCACCATCCTGTGAGACAGAGAGTAGCACAGCTCAAGAGCTTTAAAGTTGGCAAGATCATCTTGGAAAAGACATTTCACACTCTCCACTACTTAGAATGGTTTGTCTTGAATCTTATGATATGAGATAGGAACATGGAGCTGGAAGGGATCTTAGAGGCTATTTCAATAGTCAATAAACATCAATTGCCTGCTACATGCCAGACACTGTGCTAAGCACTACAAATAGAAAGAAAGGCAAAAGATAGTTCCTGCCTCAAGAGGCTCACAATCTAATGGGAGAAACAGCAAGCAAACAAATGTGTACAAACAAGCTATATACAGGATAGGTAGGAAATACTTAACAATGGAAAGATGCTAACATTAAAAGGGATAGGGAAAGACTTCCTATAGATGGTGGGATTTTAGTTGGTACTTGAAGGAAGCCAAGGAAGCTAGAAGGCAGAGATAAGGAGGGGGAACTTTCCAAGCATGAGGGACAGCTAGTGAAAATGCCCAGAGACCAGAGAGGGAATTTCTTATTCATGGAATAGCAAGGAGCCAGTGTTCCTAGATCAAAGAGTATGGGGAAGTGGGGAGGGGAAGTTATAAGGTAGAAGCGTAAAAGACTGTAAAGGGGGGAGGGTGGCTAGGTTATAGGGATTCTATATTTGATTCTGGAGGTGATAGTGATCCACTGGGGTTTATTGAGTAGGAAGGTAACATGGTCAGACTTGTGCTTTAAGAAAATCACTTTGGTGGCTGAATGGATGATGGAATGGAGAAGAGAAAAACTGTTGGCAGGCAGACCAACCAGCAGCTATTGCAATAGTTAAGGCATGCCACCAGTGATAAGGCCCTGCACCAGGGTGGTGATAGTATCAGAAGGAAAAGGGGAGCGTAACTGAAAGATGTTTCAAAGGTGAAACTGACAGGCCTTGGCAACAGACTGGATATGGGGGTAAGATAGTGAGATGTCAAGGATAACACACAGGTGATGAGCCTGGGAGACTGGGAAGATGGTGGTACCCTCAACACAAATAGGGAAGTTTGGAAGTGAGATGGGCTCATGGGGACATAGAAAAAGTTCAGTTTTGGACAAGTTGAGTTTAAAATGTCTAGCGAACATGCAGTTTGAGATGTCCAAAGGGCAACTGGAAATGAAGGTCTGGAGGTCAGCAGAGAGGTTAGGGCAGGATAAGTAAATATGAGAATCATCAGCATAGAGATGACAATTACATCCATGGAAGCTAATGAGTTCACCAAGTGAAGTAGTTTAGGGGAAGATGAGAAGATGGTCTAAGACAGAATTCTGTGTGACAGCCATAATTAGTGGGCATGACCCAGATGAGAACCCCACAAAGGAGAGAGGAGCAATCAGATAGGTAGTAGGAGAACTAGGAGAGAGTAGTACCCCGAGAAACCTAGAAAGAAGAGAGTCAAGGAAGAGGGTGATCAACAGTGCCAAAGCTGTAGAGAGGTCACAGAGAATGAAGATTGAGAAAAGGCCATTGGATTTGGCAATTAGGGGACCATTGTTAACTTTGGAAAGAGCAGTTTTGGTGGAAGGATGAAGTCGGAAACTGGACTGTAGAGTTAAGAAGTGAATAACAGGAGACAAAGTGGAAGCCTCTCTTGTAGACAGTCTTCTCAAAGAGTTTCGCCACAAAGGCAAAGGCGACATAGGACAATAATGGGAATGGATGGATCAAATGAGGGTTTTTTTTGAGGCTAGAGACATGGGCGTTTTTGTAATCAAGGGGGAAGCAGCCAATAGATAAGGAAAGCTTGAAGGTAAGTGAGAGAATGGGAATGACAGAGGGGGAAATCAGCTGGAAGAGACAAAATGGAATAGGATCACTTGCACAGGTAGCAGGGTTTACCTTGGGATGGAGTTTGCCTAGATGAGAAGATAGGGGTGGAGGAGATAGTGGCAGAAGGCTTTTGGATGAATGAGATGAGGAAAGAAAGAAGAGAGAGCTCTCGGAGAATGAAGCTAATCTAGTTCAACCATCTTATTTTACAGATGAGTAAACTGAGGCCAAGAGATGTTGAGTGATCAGAAGACCATAGATTTGGAGCTAAAAGAGATCTTATAGATCATCTAACCCAGCCCATTAATTTTATAGATGAACAAAGTCCAAGAGAAGTTAACTGACTTGCCCACAGTCACATAGCTAATGGGTGCCTGAAGCAGGATTTGAACTCAAGTTTTCCTGCCTAGGAGTCTGGTACTCTATCCACTGCACCACCAGGCTGCCTTGAGAGACATCTTGCCCAACATTATACATCTAGTTAGTGTGGCAGCAGGAATTAGTCTCCTAAATCTCAGCTCTGTCTTTCTGCTACAATAAGCTGCTTCCTTCCCTTGCCTCAAGCTTCTCAACACCATCACTGGATGCAAACATCCCTAGAAGCAAAGATTGATTGCTTTGTAATCTTCTCGAGTTCCACTTTGCTTTGCAGTAAATGACTGAACCCCTTATGGGCATCGGTACTGTATATAATGAGGTGTCAGAATCTAACATTCTGAATATATTAGTAATGCCTAGTTATCTGTGTGTACCTAGAGGAACAGAGATAGAATTTACATGCAGTCCTGCTTTCCTGGATCTGTCTGTTTGCTGGAGATGTGTAGGCAATTTGGGAGCTGGAAAGAGCTCTCTCTCCTCCAAAGCCAGCTACTTTAAACCCACATGGAAAATTAGACTTTTGCAATTGTGCTCTAACAGGAATATCACAGTGGGCTTCCAATGAGCATAATTATGAGCTTTACTTTCTGAGATTAATGAATTCTCCCCTTGGCAGTTGCAGCACCTAACATATACGAAGTGTTTTGCAAACCTCAAAACCTATTATTGTCAGATTGTTTTTTCCTTTGATCTGTGATTTCATTGATCTTCCCTCACTCCCAAAGCTCCCTCTCTCAATGGAGTCAGCACCTCCTTTGCAGTTTATAGTCTTGGAGAGTTGTCCAAAGCACTGAGAAGTTAAGAGATTTTTCTAGGGTCACCTAGCTGGTATGTGGCAGTGGTGGGACTTGAACCCAGATCTTCTGAGACCATTGTCTATCTACTACACACTATCATTATTATTGCTACACTCAAATTATGTAAGGTCATAAGCTGATTATACTATATTCCTCAAAGCATTTATGTTGCAATAGGTTTAAATCTTTCATTTTGTGACATTTAAAAAGTTCAAGACATAATTTCTGAATAATTTAATCATTTTACTAATAATGCCAATGTTTTAAATAAAAGGTCAGTGACACTCATGAATACCAAAGATCTCACCATGGAGGTGGGCTCATGGCTTATACACCCTTAGAAAAGGGGTGTTCCTGAGAGTGGCAACTCTGATTGGTAAACAATTAATGAGAGGTTGATTTTGCCAAGAGAAGTGAGCTCACTTCAATGAATGGCTGAGAGTGACAGACTATCTCTGCACCCAGACCATCCCCAGCCTTAGGAAGTGTAGATAAAGAACCAAAATCCCCCACCCCAGCCTGAACTAGTTAGGTGGAGTAGCAGTACCCAGAATGAGGAGAATGTTAATTCTATTTTCCATCAGCCCTGTCCCTGAGAGATTGGACAAGGAAACAGGGCAGGAGAAAAAAGCTGTGGCCTTTCCAGTTTTAATAACTAACTATTAATATGAGAGAGAAATAATTTCTTTCAACATATCACCCACCAAAGCTGGCTAAAATTGTCACACTTCCTTTCTCTTTTCTTTTTAACTTTCCCAGGGCCCCGGTCAGATCAGGGCGGCTGAATGACTGACTGGCTTCTTTTCTACTCCACAGAACCTAAAGCGTGTAGCAGAAACCTGGATGGATGAATTTGCTGAGTATATTTATCAGCGGCGACCCGAGTACAGACATCTTTCGACCGGCGATATCTCTGCCCAGAAGGAGCTCCGGAAACACCTCAAGTGCAAGGACTTCAAGTGGTTCATGGCAGCCGTGGCCTGGGATGTCCCAAAGTACTACCCCCCAGTGGAGCCTCCACCAGCTGCCTGGGGGGAGGTGAGGCACACACCAGGCATGGAATTGGCTCTTCCTGCTACCTGTCATGTCTGTCATAGAATAACAGAGTAGGAAGAATTCCAGAGGTTACATAGTCCATGCCCCGTCTAGCCCCAGGGCTAACTAACACTATCTCAGATAAATGAATGTCCATTCTCTGCTTAGGTGTATCTACAAACTTGGCAATCTCCCTTGTTTCCCCATCTCTATGTTTTTAAGATCAAGTATAAGGGCACTGATAGCTCCATGAGGGGGTTGGACTAGATGAAATCCTCTGAAATCCTCCCATTGTAGGATCTATGATCCCATAATTCTAGGCAGAACACCTAAGGCCAAAGTGGTTTCACCATCTACGTTGGTGGAGGGATGACTAACCCCAGTGAAATCACAGAACCTTGAAGTAAGTAGAAGAGTCAAAGGAGCATAGATATACAGCTGGAAGGGACCTCAGAGGTCACCTAATTCAGCTCCCACTTTTTTACAGATGAAGGAAGTGAGGCACATGGAGATTAAGACATTACTCAGACATTTGCAGCAAAAGAAACGACCTATAATAAGGCAGCTAAATGGTGCATTTAGGACTTGGCATCAGGAGGACGTGAGTTTGAATTCTGCCACAGACACTTCACAGTCGCAAGACCTTGAGCTAGTCACTTGAATCTCTCTGTCCCTCAGTTTCCTAATCTGTTAAAGGGAGATAATATAGCCTACTTCATAAAATGATTGTGAGTTAACATAGTAAAATGCTTTGCAAACCTTAGAGTGCTATAGAAATGCTAGTTATTATTAGCATCTAGGTTATTAGTCAACTACTGATCCCTGTGTCTACCATGACATAGCCCTTTGTGCTCAGGCTCAGCAAGGCCCTAGCAATAGTGTGTCTTTGCCCCTTTCTTACCAAGTCACCCTGTTGAGGGGAGGAAAGATATGCATCCCCTCAACACATAGCAATGAAAAGTTCAGGGCCATCTTTACTTTCTTGAACAAAAGTTGACCTTTCCCCCTTTGATGCTTCTGTTTGATTTCACTTCCTAAGGGGAAATGGGGTGGATTGAATCACCCCAGTTCCCAGAAAAAAAAAGATACATGCATACATATGTGTATATATGGATATGTATGTATATATATATTGTGTATACATATATACACACATATATAAAATATGGATATATGGATATATAGATAGATATAATATGTGGACAAAAAGAACTATTGTTTCCAGTTTAGTGCCTTTCATTGCTATGACTTACTGAAGCCTCCTTCCTTCAGAAAATTGTGTTCCAGAAAACTGGGCTGAATTGGACAGAATAGATTTATCCTAGTAATTTGGTCAGTTTTTAGGAGATTGCCAACTCTGCATCAGACAGAGGTTCAGATTGGAGCTGATTGCAAAGCAAAAGTAATCAGTCCAATCATTCCCTCCCCCTGACCCCTTACACAGGGTAAGTGCAGGTAGAATCATAGTGGCTGGACAGGACCTTAGAAAGTATGAACCCCAATCTTTTTCTTTTACTAATGAAGAAATTCAAACTGAGAGAAGAGGTTACTTGTCTGGGGTTACAGAGCTAGTTAGCAGCAGGGGCCAGCTATAGACAAATACCTTCATCATTCATTCTGGGCAAGTCCAGTGCCTAAGCCCCTCTCTGACCACTGAGCCCTGATAAAAAACAGGGGACCCAATGGGCACTCAGTCGGCAAACACATTCCACCAATATTCCTTGGGGTGAGCTAGTCAGATGCCCGAGGGTCCCCATAGACTTTTAGTGTATATGGAGGACTGTTTCTTAATGACAGGTATTAGTAATGATCATAGAATGTTGATAGATGAAAGGAATCTTACAAACCATTTGATTCAACCAAATCCTTTCATCTAATTTAAGCTATTGAGTATGAGGCATAATGAGGCAATGGATTGGGAGTCAAAAAATGTGGTCTCAAATCTTGGTCCTATTCCTACCTATATGACTCTGGATATCACTTCTCCCTTCTGGGCCTCAGGTCCTTATCTGTAAAATAAGGGCTTTGGACTAAATGATCAGGAAGTTTCTGTTGGGTGGAAAGTTGATGATCCTAGGGCACAGAGTCTACTTTTCCCTCTTAAGACTGGAAGAGCTCTCTATTGGCACAATTCCAGAAACTGAAAGTCAATAGAGCATTCTCCATTAGTTCATGGCCTTAAAAGGAAGCTTTTTTATTATACAGTCCTTTCCCATCAGCAATAAAAAAGCAGAGAATGAAAATTCAGACCACTCCCCAGCTTTCTTTGCTGAATCTTCATCAGTTCTCCATAGCTATCCTTTATTCCTGGAATGCATAGTTTCTTTCATGCCCCAGCTCACATGCCATTTTTCACCAGGATCCTTTTTTGATCTTTATAGGTAATAACTCCTTCCCTCATCCTACCCCACCATTACCTCATATATGTCTTGTCTGTATTAGTATATGTACATGTTTTCTCCCTTACTGAATCGTAAGGTCCATGAAGGTAGGAACTGTTTTTGTCTTTGTAGATTATTAATTGACTCATCTTGTTTTAAAAGCTGGAAAATAGACATGATTACCAGCAATGGCCCAGTCTTTTTAGTTTGTTCACTGGAGAATTCATGCCTATCTCGACCAAGCTTGATGACATTAGAATTGGGATAGGTACTGAACTTGTTTTTTCGCTAATAGCAAACAAGGTTTCTGGTGTATCTACTGATACAGGTCAGCACCTTCTCTGCAACATGTAGTCTTAGAGAGTTACCAAAAGGCAACTAAAAGACAGAATGTTGGTCTTGAAGTTGGAAGACCTGGGTTCAAATCCTACCTCAAACACCTACTTAGCTGTGTGACCCTAGGTAAGTCCCTTAATTGCTTTCAGCCTCAGTTTCCTCAGCTTGTAAAGTGGGGATAATAATAGCATCCACCTCAAGGGGTTATTGTAAGGACCAAACAAGAAAATACTTGTAGAGCCCTTTTGCAAAAGCACCATATAAATGCTATTTATCTATTATTATTATCATCAGCTATTATAAAACACTGAAAGACTGTGTTCGGTTAAGCCCAAGGTCACACACCCAAGGGTATGTCAGAGAGGATTTGAACTCAGGCCTTCCCGGTTTCAAAGTTAGTTATCTTCAAATATAGCAGGTTATAAATTAGCTATAGCCTGATTTTTCCTCTGAGAATAGCTGATATTAACATAGGCTATGAAGTTTATAGCGCATTTTACATATAGATCTCATTTGAGCCTCCCAACAACCCTCTGAGGTAAATACTACAGACAGTATTGTCCCCATTTGATAGATGAGAACACTGAGGTTCAGAGAACTAAAGTTCTTGTCTATGATCTCAAGGCAAATAAGCACCAGAGGAGAAAAATTGAATTCAGATATCTTCTGGCACTTAGTGAACATCTTTACTACTCCAGTCCAAACCAAGCATTTGTTAGACACCCACTATGTAAAAAACACTGTGCTGGGGGATGCAAAGTCAAAAAGAAAAACAAAACCAACTTCTACCTTCAGGAGGCTTACATTCTAGTAGGAGCATTTAGCATGTATATAGATCAGCAAATTAGTGAAAATTTTAGGAGGGAAGAAAGTACCAACTGTGGAAATGTTGAAAATATGGGAAATCAAGAAGTGTTTTCCCAAGGAGGCTGCATAAGAACCAATTTAGCCTAATGGCTAGAGAACAGGCCTCAGTCTGGAAGACCTGAGTTCCAGTCTCACCTCTGACAAAATTTCGTTTTGTGAACCCTCAAAAAGTCCTTGAATCTCTCAGTGTCCAAGGGAAATCTCTAAGACCAAAAGTTGCACTAACCTACCTCTAAGAATAATAGCAAGACATGAATTTAATGCAGTATACAGGTGAGGGGCCTGGAAATAAGTACTAATCTACCTGCTTTGGGAAAGGACATATCCTTACAGGAGTCCTCTAGACCAAGGAAATGACAGATCTGGACCTCCCCTCTCCCCACCCAAAAAACCGCAGATTATTAGAAGGCAAGGTGAGGCTCCAAGGAGTGCATTCTAGACATGGGGACAGCCTGTGTGATGGCACTGAAAATAGAATGCTGAGTATATTGAATACTGGTAGCCCAGGCCATTCTGTGGGAATGTGGAGGGAAAGTGGAAGGGGAGGAGAGGTAGTTTAGAAAATCCTCTATTTACCTCTTTATTAAGAAGCAATCAAATTCCCCCACCCCTACATAAACTCAGAAAAGAGTTTCCCTGTGCAAGTTTATGGAACTCTCTAAACCCTGAATCAAAGAACTGAATTGCTTTAAATATTGAATAAGGAGACCAATCTCCCTCCCCAAGGCTTGAGAGAAGTAAATAGCTTCATGGGAGTAAACAAGAACCCATGACAAGTAGGGTTTGGAAAAAGCAAAAGAGGATGTGTGTAGTACTCGGGAAGAAGGAATGCATGCTTCCAAGACTGGAAAAGGGAAAGAGCATCAGTTATGCCACATAAAACCAAAAATGGGGGTCTGAATAAGGAATGAAATCAGAATTGTTTCAAGGGCAAAGTGGACCCAGCCCTGAGAATAAGAGTAAAGTATGAATTAAATAGTACAAGTGAGTGGCATGGTGATGAGTTCCAATCTACCTTCCATAACAAAAGAAAAGAATTAATTTTTTAACTGAAGGTAAGGTGTTTAAACCTAGTCTAATTCAACAAGTGTTTATTAAGTGACTGTTGCATGCACGTCACTGTGCTAGGCAATGGGGATATAAAGACCAATTTTTTTTAAAAAACAGCCCCTGCCCTCAAGGAGCTTACATTGTATTAAAGCAGTCCACCACACTCATTCAGTCTCTTTTTCCTTACTTTGTTACCTACCTACTACTATAACACAAAGACATAATGAAGTATGGCATAGCGGCAAGAGAACCAACCTTGGAATCAGGAAGTCCTGGGTTCATATCCCGCCTCTGATACATTTTGGCTAGATTACCCTGGGCGAGTCAATTATCTTTGAGTGCTATGGACAATTCCCTAAGACTGTAAGT